CTCTTTCCACATTTACTCTGTTGTATTTCTCCGAGGCATCTGGAAGTCTCTGTTCCTTTATACGTTTACGTATTTAGTGTCTGTCTTTGCACACTCAGATGTAAGCCCTGTGAGCAGGAACTTTGTCTCACTTCACTTACCCCAGCTCCTGGAAGTCACATCCCTCCACAGGGAGACCCCTATTTTCACATCCCCATCCTTGCTCCATTTATATGGCTGCTCTAGCACTTATCAGATTACATCTCTTATTTGAACAGCTATTTCCAAAGGAAGTGAATCACAGGCAAGGAGGTCATATCAAAATGTCTGGGCCAGGGGGTAAGCAAGGGAGGGGTGTCTGGTTATAAGATGCTCATTCAGTGCAGAAGATTTTAGTATAGAAGACTTATGCATCTTTGTTAAAATTACCCCTAACTTTTTATATTCTTTTTAATCATGCTGTACATGTTTCATTTTCTATGTGTTAGTTTCTAATATATATATATATATATATATATAAATGGATTAAAATGATGTTTATATTGACCTTGTATCTTGAATTGATCTCACTAAATGTACTACTTAGTTCTAAGTCACTTTTAAAATTCCATAGATGTTTCTACGTACATAATCATGTTTCTGCAAATAAAAAGTTTCACTCTAACACTCAAAAAATGCACATTTAATATCACTATTATTTTTCAGCACAAGATATAGAAAGTAGAGCATCAAAAAAAAAAAAATCAAAGCTGCTAGAGCTGTGCAAGATATGGGGGACATGGACTGAAATAGTTGAAAAACACTATCTTAGAGCAATTTGTTATGATCTGTCATCCTCACTACATTTTGAGTTCCTGGTGAGCAAAATCATGTCTTGCTTATTTGTAAGTATCCCACCAAACCTAATAAAGTACTTTGCCTAAAGAAGGCACTCAATAAATGTTTTTTTAAATAGAATTAAAATATCCCAGTGTTGGACACATGGCACAGGTTCAGTACATACTTGTCCGTTGACTGTAAGAACCAATGAGCACACCTAAGTCTGTTGAATGATCAATGTAAGCTCAGCCCCGCTGAGAAACTATAACAAGAGACGTGAGGAAGCAGAAGATACCGTCAACATTATCCACATAGAAAAACTTCATTTCTCAGATAATGATAAAACGAATGCACCAAGGAAAACATTTAAGTGGCTACCTGTGCATTTCTTTACGTGACTGTTCCTTTTTCCATGTGATCCTAACTTGCATCCAAAATTCTCCTCCCAGAATTCCGCAAACCACACGTTTCTTCGATTATTGGCAAGAGTTCGGCTTCTAAAGTATCGATCGAACCCTATTTTAAAGAAGAAAGGTATGATTTTAATATTCGTCCAAAATCAAAACCAAATACCGTCAGAGGTTTTGAATAGATATTATATTATGTTGTGATCATTGCATGAAAAAATATGTATAACAAATGGGGGAGGGCAGCCAATAACCCAGCAATAAGGCTTCCCTTGTGGCAAGAGTCAATGGGGATCAGTGGACAATATCTCCACTCTCACCATTCACCATTCAGGCACCTGACTCTAGGGATGTACACAGCAGGTAAGCCTGTTGGGTGGCATCCGCACCACCTCTGTCTCTCCTCTGTGTCTCCCAGTGGCAGCAAGCAGTGACCTCATGCTGAATATTCAAAACCAACTCAGACTTTTCTCATTCTCCTCTCTCTCCCCTAGCAAGAGTCAGTGTTCCAGGCTTTGGTGCTTCTACTTGCCTCAAGGTTTATCTGTCCTGCATGTTCCATTTCCAGCTAATTCAATAAACTAATCACTACTAATGTAATCTTCTGGAGTCATGGGTAATGGGCTAGTGTCATTCTGCTCAGGTAACCAACTCACTGAAGGGAGACCACCTGGAAATAGTGCCTTATTCCCAAGGATAACGGCAAAGGTAGGAATTTCAATCACTGTCGAGATCATTGGAAAAGATATTTGGGAGACAGACTGCCTTTCAGAGATGCTCCACATCTTTGCTGTTGCATTTATTTACCCATAGAGCCAGCCCAGCATCATGTCTTCATTTGCTATAAAGCAAGCACTCTCCTTCCAACAATGCTATAACCATTGTATACACCCATGGAAATATGCAAACTTAGAGGGCAACTACTAACATCACGGAGATATCCAAGGCCAACAGTAGTGCCCCCTAAAAAAATAGCTAGTGGGTACTCTTTTCTAATTAAAAAAAAAAATATATATATATATATATATACAATATGTTGAGTAAAATAGTTACTGTCTTGACCATTCTGCCATCAGCCCTAAAAATTCTATCGAGTCATTAATAATGGATTCATTTCATCGTATGCTGATACCCTGATTTTGCTTTTGAGTTTAGATTCAGCTGGAATGAAGCAAATTCTCTACAGTGCATCCTTACCATCAATTGACGCTCTTTTGGGCAAAATTGTCACAGCCCCTTCTGCAATCTCCTCCTGCTGATAAACAGGTGCTATTTTGGATCCCCAACTATCTGAGCCAATCCAGAGAAAATGCCCACTTTGGTTTAATTTTTTCGCTGCTTCCAATATCCTCCTATTGGAATAAAAAGAAATAAAACATAGCACATTTACCAAGAAACTCTACACTTGTGAATGTTACAAGACCAGCTATATCAAGTCATAAACACTCAGTAGGTCATCATTAAACAACCAGTCAATCATTCTAACTGCCTGTCTTATCATCTCCTAAAGGGAATATATTGGAGACTTTAACTCCAGCACCTGATAATTAGCCTTATCCTTAACCTCATTCACATCATTCTGTTTATCATCGCTACTCGTCTCATTTCTTTCAGTCCCCAGGCTTTACTTGATAAACAGATTGGACTGAGAAACTAGAAGGCTGTTGTCTCTATGTAGCGGAAGGCAGTCTGTAGTTGCATGAGAATGTTGCAATTCCTATGAAATCTCACAAGATTTTACACTGAACATGAAATATGTTAGAAAAAGGATGTGGGCTGCAAATCTGATCCTACATGAGGAAGAAAAGCAATCAGCACCTGATGTCATCTTCATTAGCAAACATAATCACTGCCCGAGCATTAGGTGTTTCTAGCAGACGCTTGATTATTTTTTCAAATTCTCCAGGTCTTGGTTCACGTGGGATTTTCTGTGATTGAGCAATGCAAACACCACCTATTTAAAAAAAAAAAAAAAGAAAGAAACAGAGAAAGTGATTAGGAAAAGACATTTACTTAACACACGTAATGAGGTTAGCTACTTTATAAAAACACGTGACTCAGTAAAGGATATTGTTTCTCAAAATATCTGTCATTCTCACCTATTAAAAGCAATCACTTTTTTGCATTATATGTATCAAATAAATGACATCAATAGCTTAATAATACATCAGAGGTTTTTTCCAAGTTTAAACATTATTTTTGTGGATGTCTTTAAAAAAACCAAAGTGTACAAAATGTGGGACAAGAGAGAAAGAGTGGAAAGAAGGCTCTTTTAATTCATTTAACCTAAGTCCAAGGATAAGTGTCTGGATTAATAAAAGGTATGAGTATGTCTTATAGGTGAGACCACCTGTGAGGAAGGAAGGTCCTTTTGCTAACTTTATTTATTAGTAGATTTCCTTTACGGTTAATTTCCTTTTTTTTAGCTCAGAGTATTGCAGCAAGATTCTTATGCAGCACCATAATATGTTACGAGACAAGTGGTCTTCAAGACTGAGACACTAGCCAAGTTTCAGAGACACAAACCCTCAGTTGACATATATCTCCACCATGAAAATCAAAATGGCAGAAATCCCATCCCACTCACATGGAAAAAGAACTCTTCCTTTGGCCTCTCCTTTTAAAGCAACGAGAAGCCAAAAAGAAAAGTTTAGAAAAGACCTCTGCCCCCTGTCGACGGGCTGGGCTAGGAGGAGGAGAAGGAGGTTTCCTTCGCTGCAGTGGTACAGTTATAGCATATTCTAATATGCTATAGCACAGTTATAGCATATTCTAATATGCTATAGCATAGTTATAGCATATTCTAATACTAGGAGAAAAAGCAACATTAGCAAGATGTTTCAATTGCATTATGGTTTAAGCAGGCCTTTTGAGTCGCTTGACAAGAAAATCATCATTTATTTACAGCATTGCTTCAGTAGGCAAAGGCATTTGACAATGCATTCAGTCACCCAAACATTACTGGATGCCATTATATGCTATGCATTGGGCTGGACACATGCGTAGTCTAATCCAGCAGTTACCAGCTAGTCTGGGACAGGGGCATTCCAATAAATTATCATGGAACATGTAATAAATTTTAGAATGAAGAGAGTATACCACACTTTGGGAGCACAGAGGAAGGAGTAACTCAAGGGCTTGAGAGAGCTGGATTTTAAGTGGCAAATATACATAAACATAGGGACAAAAATGGGACATTTCCGGTAGAAGCCAAGGTATGAAAGAACTTTGCTTGACCGTGACCTATGGTTGAGACTGGCTGGGGCTGAGGTTGGAAAGAATGGACAGGTCCAGCTTGACAATGACTTTGTTATACACGCCAAATAATTTGGACTTTATCTTGAAAAGGATGGCAATCCACTGAAAGTTCATGAGCAGGAGAATTACATGATGAGCTGTATGCTTTAGGAAGAAACCTCAGGTAGCCAAACAAAGAAGAACCATGTGATAGCCAGACAATGGGTGTCCAGTGTGTTGTGATCAGATTTAACATACGTGACAGTACTGTATGATTAACAGTGCTAGAGTACTGAAGGTTATTTTTTGTATAAGTTAGAGCGCTGCCAAAGTTATCCCTGCAATAGAAATACCCTCACTAACCCTACACTATGCTCTTCAGGGGTGGGAATTGCCCATAATCCACAGAGAGAGCCTGTAGTTAGTTAGTCTACTGATATGCCATGAATAGTTGTGATGATTGATTCATTCCTTCAGTAAATATTTATGGCGTGCCCACTATCTGCCAGATACCATGTGGGGCATATGGATTTACAATGGTGAATAAAATAGACATGGCCCTTGCCTTCACAGAGTTTAGAGATGTTATGGGTAAAACAGGCTTAATGCAAAACAAACCCACAAAATAAGCATAAGTTATGGCAAGTCCTATGAGGAAGAGCAAGGACATTTAATTTAGATTGAGGAACGTTTGGGAAAAGTGTCCCTAAAGTTGGTATCACTTGGTTAAGGTCAGAAAGAAGAGAGAATGGGAGAGCATCACATGGGAAAGTGCAGGAAAGAGCCAGTGGAGTTAATGAGTGAAGGGGAGAGAAGTGTGAGACAAAAATGAGAGGTAATTTGGGGGCCAAATCATGCATGGCATGCAGGAACTGCAGAAGATTATGTGTAATTAAAGTGTCTGACATTTAGTAGCCCATAGGGATACGTCTTGTCTATGACCGCCGCATTTCATGGGAGAAAAATGAATGAGGACCATTGAATTATGTAAGAGGGCAACCTGGAGCGAAAAGACTAGGAGGCCATGAGCCCAGTTAGGAGCTTATCAGAACAGGCAATGGGAAATGATGACTAGGGTAGTGCTGCTGGTACTGAGGAGGGGCAGGTGGACCTGTAAGAATTTGAGTTAGAATCAGTAGGGCTTTGTAATATTTTTCCCACCTTTACTGAGACATGACTGACAAAAATTGTATATATTTAGGTTGTACTGATTGGATCTAAGTAGTGAGGTAGTGGGAAACCATTAAGCATGACTCTAAGATTTTGGCCTTGGTGATCAGTTTGTGTGATGACACTATTAAACAAGTAGGAAACACAGGAGGGTGAACAGGTTTGGAGAGGAGGAAAGAATGATTTTGATTTAGGATGAGTTGTTTTCAAAGTACCCATGGAACATCAAACTGAGAAAAAGTGAGTCTGGAGCTAAGGAGAGAGAAGGGAGTTGTAATCACAATGTTGCCTGATGCAGATACAGTAAGAAGATGAAGTGTTGGGAACAAAGAGATCACTCAAAAAGAATATTGAAATCAACAACAGGAAAAGGTGAGTGACAGAGCTCTCTGAAAACCCACCAGCTTGGGGAAGGGAGCTAGTGAGAGAAACTGGACGGGCTTCCCTGGTGGCGCAGTGGTTGAGAGTCCGCCTGCCGATGCAGGGGACACGGGTTCGTGCCCCGGTCCGGGAAGATCCCACATGCTGCGGAGCGGCTGGGCCCGTGAGCCATGGCCGCTGAGCCTGCGCGTCCGGAGCCTGTTGCTCCGCAACGGAAGAGGCCACAACACTGAGAGGCCCGCGTACCACAAAAAAAAAAGAGACTGGACAAAAGTGATCACATATTTTGAGGAGAAAACTTTGGGTACAAAGTCTTAAGTTGAAGACTATGCATAGTACGTTTAAAAATCAAACAAACAAAAAACAGTGGTGAGTGGAAGCATTAGGTAACCACAGAAATGCAAGACCCAAACTGTAACACTCGCCGGGGAACAACAGCTGTTTCAAAATATGACTGCTCTTTTAAGAAAATTGCTCTGATTACTTAAGGATCCTATTAAAGACATGCCATACCCAAAATATCATTCTGAGATTAATCCTGACTCCATAGCCAGAAGAAATGAAGGCCAGAAAATTTTATTATGACTATTTCAGATGAGGCAAACAGGCAATGCAATCCAGACATATGGTTTAGTCTGAATTCATTGATGTATTCATTTACTACAGATTTAGTGAACATTTTTGTTTGTAAAAAGCTGAGTTGGGTTGGAATTTTACATAGTCTATTCATATGTTTTTATTCCTTTACCTCACCTTTTATTTGTCAGCCTGGTCAATCGGTATTTTCCTGGAAAGAGGGATTGCACGATTAATTTATTTCAGCTGAGCAAATCCTTATGAAGCTCCTGCACCACATGGCATTGTGCTGTTTGGTGCCTTATGGATATTTTATTAAATTGTGGAGTGTGTTACTCTCAAGTAATTGGAGTTAGAATATTAGGATTTTTTTCTTAACCTTGAAACTCATTCACAATTTTTATCTTCACATCAGTCAAGAAGCCAAACTCATATAAGCACTCATAAAAGCACATATCGTCTACTACATTTCCGGAGCTACGGACATTCTGTCTCCCATTCTGTCCACAAAAGTCTTATAATTGAATGACAAGATGTACACATAAGAAAAGCCAGATAAGAATGTAAAATGATGGACTGCTAAAAAATAATAGCAGAAGATCAAATCAACTGCAATAATAAATGACAAGTCCCCCCCACCACCACCAAATAGTCCAATGACTTCATAAGAAGAAGAGGTCTTTATATACTGTTAGAGTTGAGGTAAAGTACCAATGAAATTTAGTCAAACATTCAGGCTTTATCAAAGACGTGCTTCCTTCAATACTCATTATACGTTGTTTCAATTTTTAAAGAGACTCTCTGACTTGATTTAGACTCCTGGGGCGGGAGAAGGAAGAGGAGCTGCTCTCCATAAAAGCACATGTCTATTGCATCTATTTCTTCATACCTCACTCTGGAAGAGTACTGATTGTGTACAATTCAAGGAACACTGACTTTCTTATTCTACAGCTGTCCCCAGTTCTGCAAGAAATAATTTTGAAAGCTTAGCACTTAGGAATATTGTACGGAGGAATTTATAATTGGCTGTTTTCTAGAATCTTCTGTCTGACTTCCTCATTTGTGTCAATGTTTTTCTTTTGATTATTTAGCGATAATTAAAAGATCATTTGCTGAACGGAACATTTTACATTCACTCTACAACACACGTGATCACTCCTTCCCAGTCTCATTTACTCTTACTTCCCTAGTCGTAGCGAAAGCGCTCTAAGATTGGCATTATCACCACATTTCTGATGAGGAAACTGAGAAACAAGGGGTGTCAACAGCTGGCAAGAGATTGGAGCCCAGGTTCAAAGTCAGATCTGACTCCAAGACTAGCCTTTTTCCATCATCTTTTCCATCACTTGCCCAATTGACCAGTGTCTCAAGTTGGTTCACAATTTCTGTCAAGTTCGAAGTAAATCAAATCCAGTCTCTGGTTATATAGCTTGTTAGATCTGCATGACAGAATGGTTTTGATACATAAACAAAGTTACCATTTTATCAGTGGTTAAGGTTATTGGTAAAAAAGTGATTGGTCAAAATTGTTGGTTAACCATAAGAGATTGTTTATAATTGACCCTAATAAGAATGTGATATAGTCAACTA